ATCAGCAGTTTCTTAGCCACTTGTTACTTCATTTCGACTTTGAGTTTTGTATAGTAGGTCTTGATGGTTTTTGCTTCAATCTAAGCATGCAAAATATTCATAGTCCTCGAGTCATCAGTATAGAGATGTCCTAATGATCTTATCCTAAAATGTATTTGAATCCCTTTTCTTCTTTATTGGCGGTTGCGGACATACAAACTAATATAGACTTGAAAATTTACACCCCAAAGTTCGTTTACCTCAGAATTTGCGTTAAAATTTATTTATTTATTTATTTCAAATGGCAGGCGTTTTGATAGCTATCATTAGCCCTTTAATTGATTTCGGGCTTCACAGAGGGAAGGTTCGTCACAGTAGCAGAAAGTCGAGGGGTGGGGAACAGAAGAGCGATTCACAGATGTAAAAGAGGCGGACAGACACAGAGGCAGAGAAAAGGGTAAGATGAGTACTGTGGAAGCGGTCGAATATGACAAGCAGTCGTGCCATGGTATTTTGAAGTCAGAAGTCAACTGCCGGTTAATAGACTTTTTTGCCGTATGAGTATACGTTGCCTAGGGTGCACCACGTGGAGGTAAGTCTATCGCACATCCCCAATTTGCGTTAAAATAAAATTGCGAAATTAAGTTGCGAGTCCGTAAATCAGTCCTTAAACTCAGTCCTTATGGCTTATTAGTCATAGATAAATTTCGTATTTAAATGTGACTGTTGTACAGATTGGTAAGTCGAAAACGCATCACACTTAAACTTGCCTTGGGGCTTTTAATAAAGTTTTTAGTAAAATGATAATCTTCATATCTTAACAACTGATTTATGATTTTGTAATTTATTGACTTAAATATGGAATGTTTTATCGATGATCTTCCATTTACATAATCAACTAACAGATTCACTGACCGATTCGTTCAACTGAATTACGCTATAATTCAGTTAAAAAAATGGTATCGATTTGAGTAAGGTTGAAATGCTTCCAATATTACACTTGCCGGTGGAAGAGAAATCGATCGTTAAATTTAGCTAAAGCATCGGTTTCTGTTTAACTGAAGTTGTTAACATTCAGGTAAACAGGTTGAGCTTCATAGATAACGGTTTCTAAGACCAAACGCTTTATTTATTCCGCGTTTTAGTAGTAATGGTAGAAGCATATATAAAATTTAAAAACGGAATATTGGTGCCAATAGAATCTATGAATTTACGGAGCTGCATGCTTGATTAGGTTTAGTCGTATTTTAGCGAAGATGCCAACAGAATATAATCACGTACAATTGTAACACAACAGAGCTCACCAGGTTCTACTTTAGGTGAGTTCTAATTGCAACGATTCGCTTACGTTTTCTTAAACTCAATTAGGTTATCTGTGGCCTTAACGATCGTATCATCAACTTGAGTAGGAAATTCTCTAAAATAGGAAGTGTTACTTAAAAACTTTTGTTCGTAAGGCGAATAGCTAAATGATTCCTTATACTGACCCAGAGCTTTAACTATCTAACAATACCGGGAAATGTTAACACTCGAATTATAATTATAAATCAATAGTCATACGTCCAGTTGTATAGATTTAGACTTACTGCATACTATTGATATAAGCTACTAATATTGAGACGGGAGGTTAGCGCGGACTGTTGAGGTCATATCATAGGTCGATCTACAAGACTAAAATAGAAAATTTTGGTTCAAATGCAAGTTGTACGAATTAGAAGCCCAGATTTCCAAACCGTGCCTATTTATTTTTGCCACTTAAAGAGGTGTTAGCAAGCCAGTTTCTTAATGCTAGCTGCTCCAAGCCACTTTTATTTTACACAAATAGATGGTTGTGAGCACTTTCCACAAATAGGATAGAGTATTTGATTTTATCTTGCACTATTGAGCTAATCAAAAATGTAGCCCTATCGCGCTTATGACATCTCAAACCAATAAAACTGTGGGAATCGCCCGATGAGTCATCCAACCAACAAACAAAATAATCGATGGAATTAGGAGTAAGAACGTTAAATTACGCTGAATAGAAACGAAATAGCCAGTTACCTTAAAACGACATTACTTGAAGTTGGATGAATTTAAGAACTATTGAGATAAATGAACTAAGAAATCTAAGTATCCAGAAACAGTTAGAAGACAGATGTCTTATTCATTTCCGCTGTGACTGATTCACCCGAGTAACTTAGTCACCTTTCCCCTCACTCGCCGGTCTAAGGGGAAAATCATTCTTCCATATAATTTAAATTTCGAATTTGAAAATTACTGATCCAAACATAGTCGAAACGAAATTACGCAGGTCAAATAAGACGAAATACTGACCTTATAGTGAGAAGCTAGTTGATTTAACTTCGAGGAACGGACCCAGTTTCAAGCCAGTTGTAAATGAATCGGAGCCTCCTAATTAATATTATTCAGACATAATTCTATCAGCCTACTGCAGCAAGAGAACAACCCTCGAGATTTGGGGAAGTGAAAAATAGGAAAGGCTATTCCACATTCCCAGTTGTGTCATTTGAAGTGGCGGGCCTGAACCCCCTGGGCGCACCCATTGGAGAAAATAACAGTTTTGGTTTTATATATATATATATACATACCGAGAATTGCTTTTCTGCATCGATTTATAGGTGAAATAGAAAAACCACCGTACAAAATGTGTATTTTTTCACTTTTCTCCTAGACTATACACACTCACTCAAGCACACGGAGAAATCCACACATACACACAGGCCAAATAATAATATGAAATGGTTTAAGGAGTTAGGAATGGTATGAAAATGAGGTTGTAAAAAAGGGATTACTGAAATGGAAAACGGGGAATTATCATCTGATTCTAGCAGAATAAGAGCGAGTTCATAATACGCCAAGACGACTAGGGAGGAGAAAAGCGAATGTGCAAATATTGGACTTAGAATGTGGGGGCCGTAGTGGCGTTAAAGACCTGGGTTTTCGGAGTTGTGGCATTATTTAATTGAGCCCAATCTGGGAATTGGTTGAGACCGAAGATGGGAACTGCATAAGAAACAGTGCTGAGAGTCACAATGATAACACCAGCAATGGCAACCAAAGCACCGGCAAGCATCATCTGGTTGATCTTAATACGACCTTTGCTGTAGACAATGGCGTTAGCAGGAGTACCAGCAGGTAACATGAAGGCCATAGAAGCGGCAATTGTAACTGGGAGACCGAGATAGTATGGATGAATATTGAGTTTCTCTGAGAGTTCGAACATAATTGGAAGAAGGACATTGGCCGTAGCAGCGTTGGCGACAAATGTTGTCATAATCATTGAAAGGAGGGAGAACACAAGAATGAGAGCAAAAACTGGGAGGGATTTAAGACCCAACATGTACGTGCTGACGGCCCTTGAGAGACCAGATTCGCTGCAAATATCTGAAAGAGCAAAGCCACCACCAATCAAGAAAAGCACAGTCCATGGGCACTTAGAAGAAGCAATTTTCCATGGAAGAACGGTCTCCAAACTGTTGGCTGAGGATTCTAAGATCAAAGCAAAACCAATGAGGACAGAGCTTGGGAAAAAGATAGAAGAGATAAAAACAAACCATCAGAACGCCTTCTGCGGAATGGGTTGATAGCGGGCCATACACAGAGAAGAATGGTACCGAGAACAGCTGGTTGGGAGTCAGTAACGAATCTAAGAGGGGTAGTAATGGTAATAAAAAGTCAAGGAGAGAGGGCATTTAAGGATGGAAAAGAACGACTCACTGAATTGTCTTGTTATTTTCAACCTTGGAAACGGTGATAACAGACCACCCGTCAACACCAGGTTTACGAGTAACCCAGAGAACAATGACCATAAGAAGGATGCCCATAGCAGAACCTTCTGCCCAGGAAACAGGTCCTAAAGTTTTCTTCTCTTCCTCCAAAATTTGTCTTATAGCAGCCTCACGGGCCTTATCGCTGCCGCGGCATTGGAAGAACCTCCTAAAGTGACGAATGTTATATCATACACATAAACAAGTCACCAATAAATTAAAATGAACAGTTCTCACTTTGGGCCGATGAAAAACATTCCGAGAACAATCCAGGTGACGATAACCATGATAAGAGAAAGAGGGGCACCATAGGCAGCCCATGATCCGAAATTCAGACCAGTGTCGCTGCCGTAGCGACTATAATAGGGGGAAGATAATATTAATATATAAGTACTTGTAAGTGACAAATGAATCATTAGTGATCATTCTCTTACGATGCAACGAGACCGAAAAGAACGACATTAGTGGGAGTACCAATGACAGTTCCCATACCACCGCAACTGGAAGCATAAGCAACACCAAGAGAGAAAGCACAGGCGAGTTTATCAAGATCGTCAGTATCAGCAGGAGACTTTGTGGTTACGCTCTCATTGCTATCACCAGTATTCCATTCCTCACTAGAGAAATATCAGTCTTAATACTGACAAGAGGAGCCGAATACAAACACAACTTGTTAACCTACTCACTACGAAGAGCAATCCCTTCCTCCGCATCTAAAATAGAAACGATACTTTCTTAAATAAGAAGGCTCAGAAATCTAAGAAAACAGCTAAGGAAACACAGATGACATTCCGAAGGAAGTTTAAGAGAACATGCAGGCTAATAGGAGCGACAAAAAAATCAAACTAGGTTGAAAGATGCCGTAAAACCTACCACCCTTCTCTGAAAATTAGAAAAAAGAATGGATTATTTTAGGAAAATTGGCTCAGCAATAAAGGCAACCATAAAATAACCTCAGATGTTGGCAGGGTCAGACAATGTACTTACTGGGTTTGAGAGATTCCAATTTGCCGAGAAGTGCGTCGACGATGGTCAACATCATGATTGTTGCGGCGGCGTTGCTCATCCACATAGACAAGAACCAGGTTGGAAGCATAAGACCCAAGAGAAGACTGAAAGAAGATAGGAATTTGAGTACAAGAATGAAGACGCAAAGTATTTCAGAGAGTCACAACTTGACTTACAGTCTGGGGTCACCACCCATGATTCTTATAACAGCGTTACCAATACGACGGTGAATATTTCTGTGTTCAGCGGCAACGGCCAAGAAAGCACCATGAATGAACAGCATAATTGCGTCCTTCATGTAGGCAGAACAAATGGACTTAGAAGCCATAATACCCATTAATGGACCCATGAGAAGAGGCAGCATAGCAGTAATGTAAATAGAAATGCACTCGGTTATCCAGTATCCAGCCATCAAGAGGAGGGTGTAAGCACCCTTTCCTTCCTGGAGAATATTAAGGATTTAACATTAATACTCAAAAGGGAAAAATAAGATGTATGCCAATACAATAACTACTTACGGCTCCTGGATATTGGACTAAAACTGGGCATAGTAAGATGGGATAGACCAATGTGAAAATCAGCTTCCAATTGGCCAAAATAGACTTCAAAAAGCTGGGTGCTGCCATTCGTAAATACTTTTGCCTTGTTAATTAATATCGCTGGAATAAAAATGGAATTAGAGATCAATCAGAACGGATAACAAGAATGACCGAGGACAGGGAAACTACCGTCAATTGTAACTAGAATAGTTGCCGCGACCTATTTACATCCAATTTATATACAATTTCATATCCAATGAAATGCATTAGCCAATAAAATTCCAACTTTAGTTATTGCTTGACAAATTTTAACCAATTACAGCTGCGTATTCAACCACGTTTTGTATATGGTCGTGCGTAGAAAGCATACATGACGCATATGCGTACTCGCCTTCTATCTTTTCTTTTCCCATTTAAATTTAACATTTAATTAGCAAAGAAATGAAGCCATTTTTAATTTAATATTATGATCAGTTAATATCTCAGACCATTGTTTCTTTGTATCTCTTTTTTCAGCAATTTCAAAGCCCAATATTAAACTCAAACGCATAACTGATTAAATTGGGGGTTTGTTTGGACCTAGTTTAATATCGAACACTTGGAATAAGGTCTTAAATAAGAGAAATATTGAAGGATTTCAAATGACTGTGCTTATGAGTCTATTCACTTTATTTAATCAAGGCAGTTCATTCTGACGTTTGGTTATAATTCGCGCAGAAAGTGTTAAGTCTCATAATATCATACTGGAAATCAAATAATAGTCAAAGTCCGTGCAACTCAAGAACAATCAATGCTAATGTGCAAATACATACTCTACGAGGTTGCAATTCCAATGAAGAAACTTATATTAATCTGAAAGTAACGATTTCGGGCATTTGCCAACTTTTAAGCACCTCTATTGACGAAAATGACTTTGGTTGGTCATTTAATTCAGTTTAATATTACTTTCAAGCCGAGAACTATTTGCATCAATTATTTGTTTAGTGAAAGCAAGTAGAGCTCTTTGTCCCTTGAACTTTGAAAGTCTACCGTATTTACTTTAGTCGATTTAGATTTCATTTCAAAGTGATTGTTCTTTTTCTATTCAGGAATATTTTGTAAAAGTAACTAATGAATTCGTATTTGGGGTAGAACTCTTAACTTAGAGTAAATAAGTATTAATTCTTCACGACATTTCTTTACGAGATTCATTAATCGATAATTTCCAACTAGCTTAAATAAACACGGCTCTGCGTTAAATTGATTGCAATGAGTAAAGAGTACTGATTAGAAGTCATGTTAGAAATTATATCAAAGATTACATCAGCTCTTAATAAAGAAAGATAGCTAGCCATTACTTGACTTTATAACAAAAGGAAACCAGAGAGATTAGCCTTACCATTCTTGGTGACACAAGTATTCCTGGAGTTTTGCATGTTTTGCCCTAAAATACTGACTTTGAAATGCGTCTTTAGAATTGTTAATATAAGTTATTTGCTTTGATTGTTAATTTTCCGTATCTTCTAACAGGAGATTCAAATTACTGGCAATATCTAAGTTTCTTCTGCGATCGGTAAAATCACTCTTCTTGTTCAAAGCATAGCTAATTTCTAATGAAAGTATCAATAAATCGATAGTATTTGGAGCCCAAAATGTGTTAGCTATTTAATTAGCAACAATCTGCTATCTGTTTCTAATCGAGACCAGTGTTTACGTTAAGTGCTTGTTATTAGGTCCCATTTACATAACGATTGTTTAAAGGGACTCAATAATTTAAAATAATAACTGATAGGGTGAAATTGAAAACAGCATAAAGAAATAAGGGATAAATGTGTATTCCAGCCATTTACAGTTCCTAATTCTCCATTTCGTGATTACTAAAACCAGATTGTATGATATGCAGGATATTGGGGATAATTTTTAGGTAATAATATTGGATGATTTCCCCGAATTGGAGAATTCCGAACAAAGTGAGACTTCCTACCGAAATGCAAAACGATCGAGTTCTTTTCGATGAGAGATCTTTGGCCAAGATCAAATGGATAATACGCATAAAACGGGACTAAACTCGAATCATGCGGCTATTGCCAGTTTTAAAATCCCCTCGAAAGTTAAATACAGCTTTAAGAATGAACTGAAGTTCAACTATGAAGTTAAATTACTTGTGAGTAACTGCCCAATGAGTCAGACTACTGCAAAGTGTTCGTGGGGTCAAAACGCTAAAATGAAATTTAAATAAAATCAATTGCCGAGTGGGGACTTGAATTTACGAATTTAATTCACGTTGTAATTCCATAATTGTTTGCTAAAATAGGTTTATGTAAAAGATGAAAAAGGAAAAAGTCCTTAGAGTAATTCCTTCAGATGCTTAAACGCATGAGGGATCAAGTTATCAGAACTCGATGTGGCTCGGAAACTAGTTATTTGGTAACGAAGACGGTTGATAATCGCTGGCGCACTTGCTCAGATTGTTGCCAAGGCATACGTAAACTTCATGTGATGGACACTTTCCCTATATCGCGATTATATAAATGCAACTGATTAATGTGTCAATCGTCTCACTTTTAAAATGCCCAACGAGTAAAGTTACACAACGAAAATTAACTGAAAGATTATGTGACCTAAATAGCACAATTTTGCGATGGTTATTAGAAAAGTAGGGTTACTACGATAAAGCAATCATTGCAATCTTAATAGATGAAAGAAAGCAGTGAATAGGATAGCACAGCTATACAAACTATAACGCTATTTTCAGCTCTTGTACTGGTGGCGCGACGATAAAGCGCACTTTTGAATTGTAGTTTTTGGTTCTATGAGTCTAGAAACTGGGGTAGAGGTCAATCAGGTAAAAGTATATGGTTGATTATATTTCAGAGGTTGGCGATTTTCAAAAAGTATATGAACCCTTATTTAAAGTTCAAGTGCTAGTTAGAAGTCTTAAAACCAAGAAGGATTTGGTAAACTCAATTTCGGAAGTGGTGATAAAGATGTTTGAAAAGAATAATATGGATTATTTAAAGCTCTTCAAGGGTTCCCCCTCTCATTCCTCGTATTGGTCTAAACTCACCAGTGGGGGTAGTTATGTGCATAACAGAACCAGTACCGATGAGCATCAATATCACTATCTCTGATTTACTTGACGTGCACAGTTACATCTATATTGCCTGCACACAAGCTATTCAAAACCTTCCAAGATCAGTCGAAGTGCACGCAGCATTTGACTTGGGCAAATGGAAGGTATCCTGGAATCGCTCTTTCGGGGAACGCACATCCTACTGTCTCTGTTGTTGATCCTACTTGACAAATTAGACTCGTTGCCTAAATGGGCTCAGATGAGCATCGGTTCTGTGACCTCTGACATAATAGACCGGTGGCTATTGAGTAATCAGTGCATAAGTATTGTAAAGCTGTTTTGGCCACTTTTAGTCATACGCTTTGAATAAAATGAAGTATATTTAAAAATTGCTCCAACATATCCATCCACTAAAAAAATTAATAGATTTGTTTGTCGTCAATTTTTAAATAAATAAAAATAGAGGCGCTTAGGGAATCCCTGATCATTTCTAGAAAGTTCTCCTCAAGGCGAACTTGAGTTGCTAGGGTAAATTACCGATTTGAAAGATTAGAGACAACAATCGTAACCTAATTTGTGCGATAGACTAACCTCCACGTAGTGCACCCTAAGCAACGTATACTCATACGGCAAAAAGTCTATAACTTCCAGTTCACTTTTGATTTCAAACAACCATCACCCCACTGTATGCCATATTCGATCACTTTCACGGTTCTCATCTCACCTTTTCTCTACCTCTGTGTCTGTCTCATTACAACTGCGAAGCACTCTTCTGCTCCCTCCCACGCCTCGACTTTTTGTGACTTTGAAGTTCCTCCCCTCAGTGAAGCCCGAATTCAACTAAAGGGTTGACGATAATGATCATAAAGCCTGCCATTTGATGTAAATAAATTAAAATTTATCTCTGAATTTTCTGCATGAAAATCAATGGTACCAATATTTCATCGAGAATTTAACAATATCCTGTTCAGAATTAAGCGTTCGTAAAATTAATTACCCCTTTGGGAGAATTATTTTCCCTTTTTTTTGCCTCACACCCAAAAGGTTATGCTAGATACCCAAACCACTCCAGTTGGTCCCAAACACTGCGTAAATATAGACAAGAGAAATCACGTGATACTATGGTTTGAGTCCTAGTTTTCGGGGCATTCTGTTTCATGCATAGGGTGAGAACTAATGTCGTTTATGAACGAAGAGGTCATTTGATAATTTCGGCTCATCAGAAATGCTATATTTGGGATGATGTGGTGTGGGGATGTTAATGTGTTGTTGCTGTTCAGTGATTGCAGGAGGGCTTGGCTACTAACTTAATCAGACGTATCAGACGAACTTGGCTGTATACAGAAAGGCTTATGAGTTTGACATATGGAATAACTTCTCATAACCTCAACTGAAGGGCCCATTAGTGCTTTAGGTGGTAGTAAGCATTGTAACAAAATGCCTGTTACCTCTTACCATTGCACTGTTTCCTAGTTAACAAACTTAAGCGATCTACCAGTGATCCTATCTCAGTCCATTTAATCATAAAGGAAATTTGCATAAGTAAACTGCATTCTAATTTATAAGCCTATCCAAAGGAATGACAAGCGTTTATGCTCCACTATTTCCAAGCACAGGGGTGTGCGATAGACTTACCTCCACGTGGTGCACCCTGGACAACGTAAACTCATACGGCAAAAAAGTCTATTAACCGGCAGTTGACTTCAAATTACCATCACCCCACTGTATGAAATATTCGACCACTTCCACAGTACTACATCACATTTTTTCAAAATTTTCAACCTTCGACTTTGAAACACTCTTCAGTTCCCCTCCTCTCGACTTTTTTCACTTTGATGTTCCCTCTGTGAAGCCTGAGGTCAACTGAAGGTCTAATGATAACCATCAAAACACCTGCCATTTGATAAAAATAAATAAATAGATA